AGGTACAGAGTTAATACTGGAAGGACTGATAGAATTTGGGAGAGTTGGAGAGGCTAGGGTTTTGCCATTCTTTTTCTGTGATCATTTTGGTAGTTCATTTATTTATGTCCATATCAATGAAACGAAAACCTCCCTTCTTCCTCCAATCTTTTCATAAGGCTCTTAGGAAGTGTAGGTGGGGAAAAAGAGCCATGTAACAGACTTGTGTGAGACTAAATGGCCAGCCAGCACCACTGCTCACTAGGCTAATCCTCTGCCTGCGGCACCGGCACCCCGAGTTTTAGTCCTGGTCAGGGCGCCGAATTCTGTCCAGGTTGCTCCTCTTCCAGGCCAGCTCTCTGCTGTGGCCCAGGAGTGCAGTGCAGGATTGCCCAAGTGCTTGGGCCCTGCACCTGCATGGGAGACTAAGAGGAAGCACCTGGCTCCTGGCTTTGGATCAGCACAGCGCCCCAGTCGTAGCGGCCATTTAGGGGGGTGAACCAACAGAAGGAAGACCTTTCTCTCTGTCTCTCTCTCACTGTCTATAACTCTCTCTCTCTCTGTCTCTCTCTCTCACTGTCTAACTCTGCCTGGCAAAAAAAAACCAAAAACCAAAAAAACAAACAAACAAAAAACACCAAATGGCACCAATGAGGACATTGTGAAAGATCACCCACACCAGTGCCTGTGGCACCTCACTCTAAAATGTATGGCTGCCAAGTGTCAAGGCTTCCAGGATACTTGTTTACGTGTTCTGCAATATCTGAAACTAGAGAGCTAGAATGTAGTTGAGTTTCTTTAGAGAATAAAAGAAACCACCACTAGTCTTTCCTTGCTTGATAAACTCCAGATAGGCAGGAAAGTCCTCAAGGTGGCAGCACCTTCATAACTTTCAAATCCTCTGCTAGTGTGTTTTTCAATTAAAACTAAAAACATAGCAATTACATAAAAACAGTTGATTCATAAATAAACACCCATGTGGTACCACCAATCTGAGACCATGCAAGATATATTAAATTATTAATAACATCTTCTAGTCTATGACTAAATATTGCTTATTTTGACGTTTATATGAAAATACTCTTCTTGTAAGGGAATGCACAGTTTATAGACTTGAGGATTAAAAACAGGGAACAGAATCCTAAGAATGAGTCGGTGACCTGTGACTTTGGCACTAATATAATTGAGTGCCTTTCTCCACACCAACTGACATTTCCAGTTCTTCATACCTGGCCATGTCGTTCTGTTGTGACTGTAGCTGTGTTTTCTGTGTCCCTATGCTTAAACCAGAAGCCATTATAGGAGCTTTAAGTCGAAGTAATAATAATGAAGTGATTTAAAACCAGAAGCAGGAAAAAAGAAAGAGATAACAGCCAATTAGAAGGCTACTGATAGGTGAACAGGACTTCCTTGGCGGAAATAACTTATGTTCAAGAAAAACAGCATGATGTTCCAGGAGAAATTCCCTGTATTTTTGGTCTTACCAAATGATCCCATGAGAAATACTTACTCAGTGAAAGTGTAGTTAGTTCAACCAACAATCTTTTGTGTAACAAAAGAAATTCTAGGAAAGGTTAGCATATACCACAATCTATAATATAGCTCCATCTTTCTGCATCCTTTAGCATAGATCTTCAAAACATTAGAGACAGCTAGGTGAAAGGGAAATGTTCTAAAACTAGTGGTCTCTTTTACAAACCACTAAACTATACAGTTTGATTTTTTAAGAAACCAGTCTTAATGAATTAGATGAACAGACCTTGAGTGACCATGATTTCAATTTTGTGTTGTCTCAGAGTGGCTAAATCAGCTAAAAGAAATTTATGATCTTATTGTCTAGTATTTATTGTCATCAATGTATCAGTCACTGAGATTCAGAACCTGAGATTTAACACTGGGCATCTAAACTCTAGTTTCTCTTCAAATCATACAAATCTTTTGCCTTTTAATACTGGGCATCCATTTAACACCACCCATTCTTTTCTACCAATACCACTGCCACCTACTTGCATGATTCATTTTCATTTAGTTGAAAAAACTACCATGACTCCACTGTGTGTGAGATCTATTGAAACATTTCTTCTTCCAAGATTAAAACTTCTTATCAACTTATCCTTCCACACTAATAACCTTATTTCTCAAGGCTCTTCACTGTGTCCTATTACGTGTCATGCACATTTGCTCCCTACTATTGCACTCAGGGCAGCCGCTGATACTCTCTTGCTAACCTCCAGGTTTCCTCTACCATATTTGCTCTCTTTATTGCAATAACTCCCACAGAATTTATTATTTCTGTCACACATTCTACATTACGTTACCATCTATGTTTTTTTAACATTTATTTTTCCCAACAAGGTTCTATTATTCAGAAAGATATACTTTGGGTATTTTGTTCATTTTGTCCCATTCACTATGTTCAGCATGTAGTAGGTAGTCAAGAAACACTTAGTCAACACTTATCAAACTGAGTGTTTCATTTATAACCAGTGCATACCCCTCATGGTTATTGGCTCCAAAGAAAGCATTTTTCAGGAAGACATTATCATTCTATTCATAAAAAGGAAAGATTCAACTTAAGAGTGTCCCTAACAGGTCCTAGAAAATGTTAAATCTTCTTATGTTGTAAAAGCCACATTTAGAACTTTAATGTAACAGAAAAAGCATATACTTGATTTTTGTTTGAAGCAAGAAAAGGTCAGGTTATTGCAAGATCTTCTGTGTTGTTATGACATATTAAATACAGGACAGCCTGACCTCTTACTCTATCTTAATAATTTTATTTTTTCTAATAACACGCTCTCTATAATGATGAATATAATATTTAGAAATGATTTGAAGACTGCATTTGTAAAGTGAGTAATTCTGACCATTGGGGATGCTTTTCTTTACTACAATAAAGACCATAAGACAGCTGCCATTTGCCAGCATTCCAGCTGACTTTGAAAAGCACAGTGACACAAGCTCTGTTCATAGAAATTGTAAATGTGTGTCTTGCCTATACCTATCACTGATGTTACCTTGGCCTCCTGAGCTCCAGAGAAAGTGGGAAGAAGAGGATGATTTGGCTAGTATTTCCAGTTTCACATGGAGCATTTGCGTTATTTATTTATTTTTTTTTAACTTTTATTTAATGAATATAAATTTCCAAAGTACAGCTTATGGATTACAATGGCTCCCCCCCCCCCATAACTTCCCTCCAACCCGCAACCCTCCCCTTTCCCGCTCCCTCTCCCCTTCCATTCTCATCAAGATTCATTTTCGATTCTCTTTATATACAGAAGATCAGTTTAGCATATATTAAGTAAAGATTTCAACAGTTTGCACCCACATAGAAACACAAAGTGAAAAATACTGTTTGAGTACTAGGTATAGCATTAAATCACAATGTACAGCACATTAAGGACAGAGATCCTACATGAGGAGTAAGTGCACAGTGACTCCTGTTGTTGACTTAACAAATTGACACTCTTGTTTATGGCATCAGTAACCACCCTAGGCTCTTGTCATGAGTTGCCAAGGCTATGGAAGCCTTTTGAGTTCACCAACTCTGATCATATTTAGACAAGGTCGTAGTCAGAGTGGAAGTTCTCTCCTCCCTTCAGAGAAAGGTACCTCCTTCTTTGATGACCTGTTCTTTCCACTGGGATCTCACTCACAGAGATCTTTCATTTAGGTTTTTTTTTTTCTTGGCTTTCCAGAGCATTTGCTTTAGAGACACATTTGTTGCTGAGACTGTCTTGTGAAGAAAGAACAGATAATGTAATTATATGATTTGGGTAAAATAGGATCTTAGGGAACAAACCTTTCTGAGAGCATTCCTTCTATTACCATTTGCACATGCTTCTATGTTGCATACTTGATTGTAAGCAGCCTTCAAGTTTAGAAAAACTACTTTCTATAGTTTAAGAAGTTACCAGGTATTGGGCACCTGGTATTGCATAGGAATTTGCAAATGGGGTCCGCAGCAAAAGGCAGGGAAACTTCTCAGCAGAGAAGGACACTGGCTCTCTCTCTGGTCACTGGCATTCCTAGTCATTGCCCCAATCCAGTTTTTCTGCCTTCCTGATCAGATGCTTAGTGAGTGTAATCCATATCTTTTTCAGCATCCACAAGCAGCAAAAACTTTTTAATTTGCATTTTCTAGCTTGTATGAGAATTACTCTCTGTTTGATGAGTTTTAATGGAGCACCTGTGCTGGGCTTCAAAGAGCACACTCTATAGAAAGGGTTCCCATCCTATTCCTGCACCATACTCATGGGGTCAGTGGAAGAATTCGCTTGCTCTCTTTCTATCTCTATCTCTCTCCACCTCTCTCTCTATTGTTTTCTTTCTCTCTGTCTCCTCTGAACACTGTCCATGCCAAATTACATAGCAATAGAAGTAGATGTTTGGCACAGTAGAATAAGGTCCTTATTAATAATCATAACTAAGAATTGTGGTAAAAGAAGTGGTCTATATTGCAAGAGATTGGAGTATATTTACTTCATATTTACTATAAAGTACCTGACAAGCTTAAAGTTCTCCTACCTGCTATCACACTTTCCCAGCTCTATGAAAATGAGGTAGAAAATTCAGATACCTGAGAGTGAGGCTAGAAGAGTCAAAAATGTATTCTAGACTATCAGGGGAGGTAAACACATAGGAAAGAGATAGAAAAGGGGATCCTTGACAATAAGCTGAACTGGCATCTGCTAAACTTTACTGATGGACAATGTAAGAGGGAAAAAAGGTTATTTTTCAGAGCCAGTGCTGTGGTGTAGTGGGCTAAGCCTCTGCCTATAGTGGGGACCTGTTCGAGTCCCGGCTGCTCCTCTTCCAGTCCAGCTCTCTGCTATGGACAGAGAAAGCAGTAGAAGATGGCCCAAGTGCTTGGGCCCCTGCACCTGAAGGGAAGACCTGAAAAAACTCCTGGCTCTGGACTAGCCCAGCCCCTGACATTGTGGCCATTTGGGGAGTGAACCAGCAGATGGAAGATCTTTCTCTCTGTCTCTCCCTTTCTGTCTGTCACTCTACCTCTCAAATAAATAAATAAACTCTTTAAAACATAAAAAAGTTGTTTTTCTCCAACCTCTAGCCTAGATGTGTATGCTTGATTATCTAATACTTTTATCACATTCTGATAATGTGGTCTTCATCCCTTTGGAACATTACACTATAGGAAATATGCTCATAAGAACAGAATTCCCGGAGTGGTAATTTCCTAGAAGACACATCCTATAAATGAAATGCAAATATTTTGCACAGATACAGCTGGAAACATTTCACTTACAGCTCTTCCTCCTTCCTCTGATGTCATGACTCAGAGCCCATTGCTTTCCACAGTTTCTTTTAAGAAGCTTTTGCAATTCATTCCTGTAATGGCTATAGATACAGAGTTTTTGTTTTAGTAGTTGTTAAATATTTAAAACTGTTTTAAAATTGTTTAACTGACACACAAAAAATGCACATATTTGTAGGGTAACATATGATGTTTCTATTTGTGTAAACATTGCATAATGTCCATTTAGGGTAAACACACCTATCTCCTCAAATTCTGAATATTTCTTTATGGTGTAAACATCCAAAAATATTTTATTTCCTTTAGAGAAATATACAGTGCATTTTCATTATCTATAGTCACCCTACATTGCAATGGAGCACCAGAAATTCTTACTCTTACCCAAATGTAACTTACTACTTATCTGTTAATGAACTTCTGAAAATTTCATTCTCCCGTCTTACCTCCCCAACCTGCGGTAACCATCATTATACCCTTCTGTGAGGTCAACTATTTTATATTCCACATATCAGTGAGATCATGTGGTATCTGCTTTCAATACTTGGTTTATTTCATTTAATATAATAATCTCTAGTCCCATCCATGTTGTTGCAAACGACATGATGTTACTCTTTTTCATTGCTTAAAAGCATTCTACTGTGTATATTCGGTACATTTTCTTTATCCATTCCTTAGTGGAAGGACTTCTGAGCTGTTTCCATTTACTGGCCATTGTTACTAGTGCTGCAATAAACATGGGAGTGAAGACATTTCTTCAAGATACTGATTTAGTGGTATTGTTGGATCACGTGGTAGTTTTATTTTTAGTTTTTTTGAGATCCTCCGCCCATCATTTCCCTCAGTGCTATGACAATCTCTTCTCACGCTCTCATGTTTCATAGGTTTCAGCTGAGAAGTCTGTAGTCAGGTGGATTGGCACCCCTTCAGATGTCACTTGTTTCTGTTCTCTCATAACTTTGAGGAGCTCTCTCTTTATCTTTAACTTGATGAGCTTGATTATAATATGTATTGGAGTAGATTTGGTTGGGTTGAATCTGAATGATTATCTTTGATCTTCCAATACCTGCATAGTTGTATCTTTCTCAATGGTTGGAAATTTTTCTGTTATTATCTCCTTGAGTATGTGTTCTACTTCTCTGACATTACTGAGTCTCTCCTGAACCCCAATTACTCTGATAGTTGCTCTTTCATGCAGTCCTTATGTTGTCATAATCTTTCTTAATTCCTCTTGATTCTTTTTTTTCTCTTAGTATATTTTCAAATCACCTACCTTTGAGTGTACAAACTCTTATTTCTGTTTGATCTATTTTGCTATTAATGCCTATCACAGTTTTAATTTTGCTTACTGTAGTTTTCAGTTGAGGAATTATGCCCATCTTTAGTCAAGCCTCCCTGGTAGAGTGTTAAATGGTATTCTCCTGAAGTGCATTGTGTTTACTTAAACAAGCTATTTTAAATTTGTCATCTGAGCACTTGACAATGTCAGATCTGATGTCATTGGTGTCTTACACCTTATTTTGTTCATTAGGTGGGGTCATGGTTCCTTGAGAGATCTCAATGTTTACTGGCATATAACTTCATCTGCACACTGATAGATTAGTTGTTTTTTTCTGTTCTTTGTAGTTCGGCTTTGAAGTGTCAATTTGTTTATTTCCTCTGAGCCTGTGGGCACTTCTGTCACATCAGCTCTAGGTGATGCTCTAAGTGGACATTTGCTGCAAGTCCAATACCAGTACACTGTCACCGCCTCACTGATGCCCTGAGGTCAGATTTGTCTGAAATCTACACTTGGTGTGCCACTCAGAATGAACCAGGGAGGCATCCAAAAATGGGTAACCTATTATTACAAGCCTTTCCTTGGGACCTGGAAAGGTCAAGACAGTCAGGTCAGTGGTCACCAACACTGAAAGGCTAGCTCACACCTGAAGCCCACAGTCACCCAGACTAGCACAGCATGTGAGTAGAACCAAAGAGCACATTGCCTGTGCTCTGTGTGTAGCTGAGATGTTCTCACAGCCTGAAGCCACTGCAGTTAGCCACAAATAATAATGGCTAGAATATAAATCCAATCAACAGAGGCCTTAGACTTCACTTGACACTGGTGGAGGTCCAAAGGCTCTTTCCAGTGGAACTGTCTTGGTGATGGAGACCATTAGCATTTTTCCCAGTTCTAGATCTTACCAGCCTGGCTGCCGATGAATATTTTTTAAAAAGATTTATTTATTTATTTGAAAGACAGAATTACACAGAGAGAGGGAGATGTAGAGAGAGACAGAGAGTGAGTGAGAGAGAGGGAGAGAGAGACAAAAATTTAAATGGCCACAGTAGCTGTGGCTGGGGTAAGCTGAAGCCAGGAGCTTCATCTGAGTCTCCAACGTGGGTGTAGGAACTTAAGTACTTGGACAATCCTCTGCTAATTTTCCCAGGCCATCATCAGGGATCTGGATTGGAAATGGAGCATCCAGAACTCGAACCAGCACCCATGTTGGATGCCAGTGTGCTGCAGACAATGGCTTAACCCTTTTTACCACATTACTGGCCCCTATCACTGAATTGTAAGACACAGTCCTGTTGTTCCTTGATGTCTGCCCAAGGATGTGGGGGATGATATAGGAAGCCTCCTAGCCACTCAAGATAGTGCTAAACTGAGACACACCTTGATCTCACAGCTTCCAAGCCCTGCACAATCTTTGGGATGGGTGCTGGGCCCACATGAGACTGGTGGTGATACATGCCAAAGTGAGTATGTCCCATCAGAGCACAATTCTTGGCCTGATGCTGGGGTAGGTTGAGGCTTTCTCTGCAACTGCCAGCTTAGGGATGGGAACATTAGTAACTTTTCAAAGTGGGTTTTATAATCCTGGCCCTGAATACCAATACACACTCCTATGGCTCCTTGCTGTCTGCCCAAGGATGGGGTAGCACTGATAAAGGCAACCCCAAGGCCACCCAGGCTGGCACTAAGTTAAGTCACAATGTTCTCACAATAACCAAGACTGACACAATCGCAGGGATACATGTCAAGGTGGTGGTGATACACACAGAAACAAATCAGTCCTACTGAGACACACATGCAGGGACAACTTTAGTAGCTCACTTTGTGAGCACTGCCCTGGGAGTAGAGAACTTTGGGCTTTATCAAGCACTGGATCTAACAGCTGTGGTCTAGTGCTGAGCTCTAAGATAAGGTCCTAAATTCTCTTTCCCATCCTTTTTCCCAGCTGCTTGAGTTTTGCACCACTGTCTACCAGAGGTTAGAGGGAAGAGTAGTAGAGGCAACTCCTTACCTAGCTAAGGAGGGCCCAATATCTCAGTCTTTTTCACTTTCTTCAATGCATCTTTTTTTAAAAAGATTCATTTATTTATTTGAAAGTCAGAGTTACACAGAGAAAGAAGGAGAAGGAGAGAGAGAGAGAGAGAAAAGGCAGAGAGAGAGAGAGAGAGAGAGGTCTTCCATCCACTAGTTTACTCCCTAATTGGCTGCAATGGCCAGAGCTGCACTGATCTGAAGCCAGGAGCCAGGAGCTTCCTCTGGGTCTTCCCACAAGGGTGCAGGGGCCCAAGGGCTTGGGTCACCTTCCACTGCCCTCCCAGGCCATAGCAGAGAACTGGATCAGAAATGGAGCAGCTGGGACTCAAATTGGCACCCATATGGGATACAGGCTCTGCAGGCAGCAGCTTAACCGCTATGCCACAGTGCAGCCCCCTCAACGCATCTTTTATTTTGTTATATAATAACCAGGCACTTAAGTCTCTCACCAGGTTTCTGTAGTTCTTGTGAAGGTAATTTAATGTGTGAATTGTTTAAATTTTTGTCTCTGTGAGATGATTCCTGGAGAATCTTACTATCATTTTGCCAGAAGCCCTAACTCCTTCTTAATGAAAGTTAAGAACATTTGTTATGAGCCAAGAGGAAGTTGTTTTCCTGAAATCTGGTAGTATGCAGCTATGCATGAACATTCCAGAGTTTCTAATATGAAAAAATATTGATTTTCCTAATACTTGCACAGCTTGTCTCTTTAAACTAGAAAACTTGGTGGAAAATGTATTGATGTTAAGGATTAAGTGACTGAATTAAAGTTTTTATGATTCTCTACATATTTTTTGTCTTTTTCTATCCTTAGTTTAAGAAGAAAAAAGGGTAAGAAGAGAGGAAACTGGGTGGCCAGGACAACATTCTAGCTTGAATCACAATATATAAAAAATGACAAGGCTGATCCATAGGTGATACATATTCATACATTGCATTGTAAGTGTGCTCAAGTCCTAGGACATAAGTGCCACAGTAGTTCTCTAATCACCTGAGTATAGGACTACAACTCCGTAGCCACTCTGACCATCTGAACCCTGGAATGAAGTGCCACTATAGATGCTGTGGGCTACACTAAATACAGTGCCAAGAGAAATTCCTTCTTGTGGAGAAAAAGAGAAAAGGAGGACCCCAACAGCCTTTTTCGCTGAAGACCACAACAGTCTACATTGCCATTGCTGCTGTCACCAACACCCAGTAGCCTTGATTGCCAAGGCTTCCATAAACATCACTGATGGTGATTTTAGCTGACAAAGTTGCATCAGTGAACACCCCTGAAACAGAGCTACTGTGCACCACCCAACTGGTACCCTCACAATAAACTTCAGGTGAAAGATTTTTCCAACAAATGGCAGTCTATAAAGTCTGGAAGATCTGACTAATCCATTAAACTTACACATAGTAATGCAAGTCCACAAGAAAGCAATGAATCATGATACCACCAAAGGAACACAATTCTCAAGTAATTGACTCTCCCCTCCAATGAGGATCTACACTTTTCTTGAGAAGAAATTTAAAATAATTATTTTTAAGGAAGATCATTGAAATACAAGAGAATACAGATGGACAACAAAATAAAATCAGGAAAATATGCTAATAAATCAATTTTAAAGAGTTGGAGGCTGTCATTGTGTCATACAGTGTTGGCCACTGCCTATGAGGCTGGCATCACATATGGGCACAGGTTTGGATCCCAACTGTTCCTTCCCAGGAACAGGCAGCAGAAGATGACCCCAGTGCTTGGGCATCTGCACTCATATGAGTGACTTGGAT